AGCGAAACCGCTCACCAGTTCAGCAACGTTGACCTCCTGAGCAGCTTCGTCCAGTTCTTCAACTTCCATCACGACCTCGCCATCCTCTCCCTGATTTTCCAAATCAATGTGGAAGATCAAAGGCAAGATGTAGTTGTTCACCACCACCGGTGGTAGACTTCCAAACTGGATCGTCATGGGAGCACCCTGGTTTTCATCATCGTCATCCTTGTGTTTTCGATCAAATTTCGACTTCGGCTCCTCCAATTTCAGCATCTCCTCCTCGATAAAGGAGTCATCCACTTCAGCATCGTACTCGGCCTCTCCCGGGACTCCCTGATCGTTCCCGTCCCGCTTGTCATCTACAACTTTTCCAGCACCGTCCACAGTCACTCTCAGACCCGTGGTAGAGTTATCCACGTTCACATTTGCTTGCAAGTTTGCAATTCTCCTTCCTTGAGCATTCTTGCGGAGGTACCTTCGATACTGTGTCCTTGTCATCTCGTCAACGGCGATCGGCTGCTGACGACAGACATCGTAGGTGTGCCAACTACCCTGTGGCACATTTGGCATCCTGAAAGTTCTCTTGACAGGTGGGGAACCTCTCACCGGTCGGACAAGTCCAAAAGGCAGACTTTTGAAAGGTGGGGCACTTTGAGCAACCCACTGTCTACGTTGCCCTCGTCCCCATGCAGGTGCACGTACTCCTTCGACATTGCGTTCATATGAGGGGTACCTCGGTTTGAACTGTCGTGGTCCCAATCTCTGGTGGACCGTCTGGCTCGGTCCTGCTCCCCCAATGTTTAGCTTTCCACGACACTGGGCACACAGTTTCTCTTCCTCAGCTGGATCCAAGCGTGGCCCCTCCTGCACTTGGGAGGATGAAGAACCCTGGGCCACATCAGAACTACCACTCGGCGGTGGCGTTGTATCTACCACCAGCTTGAAGCGTGGTAGGATGATCTTAGAAAAATCGGGATTGACCATGTTGACGCCGACCACGTTTGGGAAAGGGTCTGTGTCAACAATCATGGCCTCCTTCCTCGGCTCTGGGAACTTGAACCGACCTTTCTCTGTTGCATCCTGCACAACATTGCGAAACGCAACACACATGTTAGTTGAATGAGATGCACTATTGTGCCAATTTACAATATCGTTTCCTTTTTAACTTTTCAGCTGGCGGGATAGTATGCCCCCCAGTTAACTTAATTTGACCATCTTTGTAAAGCTGGTGGAAAATCAACTCTGATTTTGAAACATCAAAGGAATATTTCCTAGTTTGAATTGGAGCACGATTGGACTTTCCACCATGTGGTTCCCCATCGGCCTTGCCCAGAGAAGCACACACATATGGCTTCCCCTGCACAATCTCGGCCAAATCAACTTCAACCTAGTCAACATCACTGCCGACGTTATTCACACCATAGTTTTCAAAATTAGGGAAATATTGTCCCCGAGAACCACTCCTCTTATGTTCTTCTTCACGAAGAAGAGATTCGTATCTAACAGCGCAGGACATCAATTGAAATTGAAACTTTTTACGAAGTTCAAAATTCAAACCACCCTGGGCAAGTTTAACAAACTCGCGTTCTGTCAAGTTTACAAAACAACGATTTCTTGCATTCTTAAAGTTTGTTAAAAAGTGTTCCACCGTTTCTCCTGGATGTTGGCGCATTCGTGCCAAGTCTGCCATTGTTACTTCTGGCTCAGAACGGTAGAACTGGGCATGGAACATTTGTTCCATTTGCTGCCAAGTTTGAACCGAGTTCGATGGCAAGTTAACGTACCACGCGAAGGCGGGACCGGTCAACGAGTTGCCAAACAAACGCAACTTCAAGAAATCACTCACATCACCACACTGAACCGTGAATCGTCCAACGTGCTCGACGGTGGACTGCTCCCCAGTCCCGCTGAAGATGATGAAATCAGGTACGCGAAAACCGCGTGGAAAGAGGTAGTATCTATCAACCCAATCCGGATATGGTTTTCGGTATACCGGCGGCATCGCTGGTCTAATCCCTAAACCAAACTGATCCGCCAGCATCTGTGCTACCTGATCTCAAATCGCGTTAACGTCTTGCCCCCCGAGTTGCCCCCCTTGTGGTATGAATCCACCAGGATCCATGCCAAGCCCGTTTGGAGGAGGAGGGACGTTTTGCGGGTAGCCGCGTGGGGGAACATGATCATTGTTGATCGTTCCTCCACCAACACCACCGCTCATCGGAGCCACATAGGGCCTGGCCTCCAGGATATTTTGTGGACCCCCACCGTGAAACGGCGGTGGTTCAACCCGAGTGTTAGCGGCAGTGCTAGTCTCACCAATATTAACTCGCGGAGCTGGTGGATTCACCACCGGTGTCGGCGGAACTCCTTGTCTCGACGGACTATTTCGAGCACTATTGTTTGGAAAACCAGTTTCGTTGTTTGGATTGTTTTCACCGTTTAACGGCAAATCCCTAGATTGCATTACTGGTCTACCCAAAAGCACTCTGATTTCATTCATATCACGTAGATTTTTATCCACAAAAACATCAAAATCATGTCTATTTTTAGTCACAACTTCAAAGAGTTGGCTTAAACGCCTATCAACACGAGACTCAAGAGAATCATGTCGTGCAGTTAAAACGTCAAAACGTTGATTTACCTCGCCCTTGAAGCTTGCAAACTCGCCTTTGAAGCCTGCAAACTCATTGTTGAGGCTAGCAAACATGCGACGGTTCTCCTCCATGAAATGGCGGATTGACAAATGCTCGGTCAGCCAGCTGTGGACGGCGGATTCTCAGAACCACCGATGTCTTCAGCACCGACTCCTTGGCCTCCTTCAATGTTGGCCACTTGTTCCTCCACGAATCCGGGCGGAACATCCCCTTCCCGATTCCTTCGTCGCGGAGCCATTCGAACACACGTGTCCCACCAGGTGTGCCAATTTGTTTCGTTGGTGAAACTCGCGCGTTCAATGCGCTCTGTTTTCAAGGAAACAAAAACACAAAGTCAACACAACCGTCAAATATCCGCCACCGAATGTCGGCACCATTGATTTGATCGATTAAAACAGAAACCGAGACGACCGTCAAATATCCACCGCCGGCGTCAGCGATGTTGATTTGATCGATACACCTTTGATTTCTAATCAAACAACCGTTCTTCGGTTCACCACCTCTCCAAACTACGTTCGAACGAGGGTGTTCGGCGAATAACCAGAAAATCAAACCAGGAGTGTTCTAAGTTACGTTACCTCTACTCCTATGGAGGTTCCTCTAGAAAGCTCTGCAACTACGACTACAAGCTACGATCTACGACTCTGCAAAGGAGATCTTTGACAGAGAAATTCTACGAACTAGAGAGAAAAAAGGTAATTCTGCGACGGTGCAGTTTGTGATTTGATTTTGCCGTCCCTCGCGTCTCTCTCTTCCCAATCTTTATACTTCGCGCTTCTCCTAGTCATAGTAACTGCCTTCGCGCCTTTGTCTCCCACATCTTCACTCCTGTCAAGCGTGCAGGTAACTTCCTCCTTGTTGCGTGATAATCACGTGCCCTTGAAACCGCTCTTGCCTTGCAGAAACTTGGCAAAACGACCTACAACCTTGTCCATGTAACGATGTCGTTTCATCAATACCACGACATCGCCTTTCCCCAACCGATGCCGTTTTATAATCCAACTCAACTGCCCGACGCGGTTTAACCAACGACATTGTTAGTCCATCAAACAACATCGTTTTCTACTCTTGCGACGTCGTTGGGCTTGGCGGGCTGCATTCGGCCGAACTCTTACCACTACCGCGATGTCGTTTTACTTTTCCGCGACATCGCTTTTCATTAAACGACACCGTCTAAAATACTCATAAAATGCTAATTAATTAAATCAGCCCTCATTGTTAACTCGCCGTCAAACTCTCACCCCAGCGTCGTTCTTAGTTAAACAACATCGTTTCCTTGTCCCGCGATGTCGTTGAGTTTTTGAGCTTCGCGACACTGTTTTAATTTTAACACTGTCGTTTTAACTGTTGCGGCATCGTTTTGCCTACTTGCGGTATTGTTTTATAATCCGCGGTGTCGTTTCTTTCCTCTTGCGGCATCATTTTCAACTAAACGACACCGTCCTAAAAAATCATTTAATTAATCCGGCCATTAGCGCCCAAAACGGCTCCGTTTGCCTTTCCTTTCGCGACATTGTTTTTTATTTAACCACTGTCGTTTGCTAATCCGCGGTAGCGTTGGGCTTACTCGCGGTACCGTTTTTAATTAAACGACACCGCTGATATAGCCAAAAAAATATTAATCCATGGAACCGCCGCCAGTCGGCGCTCGCATTGGGCTGGGCGAATTTTGGTCAGTTACCCGATATGGTTTTTAATTAATCGGTATCGCTTATCAGGCTCTCGCGACATCGTTTTTAAATCCGCGGTACCGTTTTAACTTTCCGCGACACCGCTTGTCTCCATGTGGTACCGATTTTCCCCTTCCGACAAGGAATAAAGATAATAATTAATAATAATAATCAAAACTCCTTTTCCAACACCAATACCAAACACGCGGCCCACATCTTGCTTCCCGGTAAACGGTGTCGTTTCCAGTGCCGCGGTTCCTCTGAGCCTCCTTGCGACACCGTTTTAACTCTCCGCGGTGTCGCTTGTCTCTATGCGGTACCGCTTCTCCCTTTCCCACAAGGAATAATAATAATAATAATAACTCTTTTCCAACACCAATACTACGCGCGCGGCCCCATCCTGTTTTCTGATAAACAGTGTCGTTTCCACTGTCGCGGTACCGGTGAGCTTCCTTGCGGTACCGTTTTTCTGTTTCGCGGTACCGTTTTAACTCTCCACGATGCCGCTGAACTCCAAACGATACCGTTTTTTACCCGCGGCATCGAATTAAATGCCGAGACTAATTAATGCGGCATTTAATTCAGGCCAAATTAATTTTAGGTGTCTACAATTATTAATACAGCAAGCATGTCTATGTATAGTTTTTTTTTTATATGCGGTATAAAATATTAGTATTTTTGAAATAGTATCGTATCAGCGGTTTTTTATTTGCCATAATTGAGAGGTTACATGAGTAAGCAGCAGGCACCATTTGTGGACTTGGGGTTGGGGACCTGATGCATGCTGGCAGTACGTGATTTGATGTCTGCAGTAATAAGCATAGTACATACAGTGGGTAAAACGGTAATTAAAGAAGAAGGAGAAGACCTCTGGTAATAATTCCTTCGATCCAGCTGGTAACTGTGCTGGACATGAATGATCGATTTGTCATTTTGGGCTTGTAGCTGACGTGACCTAGTGTCAGTTCCTTTATTTCTACTCGTTTATTAATTATTATAATATTAATCGTATTACCTGATCAGTTTAAAATCCCACAGTCAAATTCATATTGCATAAACATATTTTTTTTTTTTACAAAGGAGAGTCTTTATTGCATTTTAACTGATCAGTTACAAAGAGACAACAACCAACATTCTGGTTCAACAGGAGGAAGGAAAAGGGAACCCGGTTACAATCAAACCATGAAAAGTAAAGCAAGAACAGAGAACACAACACAGTTTGACAGCAACCATCCAACACAACAGAACCCCTGAAAACACCAGTATCAGAAATCTCTCTTGCAACCAACCACTTAGAATGCAACAAGAGCGAAATCAGCTTGTCCGATCAACTCGAAATCCATGGCTAGTGATTGAACCATATGCCGCCTCCTGGGGATAACTCGAAGGCATCCATCACAGTGAATCCTAGAAACAAGATTGCATGGCGGTGGAAGAGGATTTGAACGGATTGCTCCAAGCTGACAGAGGCAGAGGAAGGTGAGGCAGAGATATCATGATTGAAGCAGAGCAGAAGATCCCAAGGGAGCCACAAATCTCCACAGAAAACACTGATAACCAACCACAACCACCGGAGAAGACCCGACCCTCCACGATCCGACGGCTCACCCCGCAACACAAACACAAAGTGCAGATCGGAAAGGGAAAGAAGAGAATGGCTCCACCAAAGGATGAAACCACCAACCTGGAAAAATCACCACCATCCAGATCTGGACTAGGCACTCACCAAATTGCTAACTCCGGATCCTACAACGAGCAAACCTTGATCAGGAGAACCAAGAACCGAAGGAAGAGACAAAGCTCGACGGGAAAAGAAGAGACGAAGCTCGACTGGGAAGGAAGCTGAAAGGCCACAACGGCAGGGGGAAAGCTGGAAATCCGAAGGAAAATCACCTAGAACAATACCAGGTGAAGCAAGAGCCCAAAGAAAAGAAGGAGGAAAGAGAAAGAAAAAAAAAAAAAAAAAAACATGGAGGGGCTTGAGCTGCCGCCGGTCACCAAAAGGAGCCGGCGGCAGCCCCTGGAAACACACAGAAAAAGGAAGCGAGAAAAAGAAGAGAGAGGGCAGAGAAAAGAGTTCAAATGCTCTTCTCGCGAGTGAGCTCCCCCATATTGCATAAACATATGAAGGCAGAAGGATGCAACTCCTGGTTTCCTTGCAATTTTGGGTAAATAGTCATTTCCCTTCTTTCCCCAAACAAGAGGGGTAACTTTAATTAAATTTGGTTCTCACTTTAATTGTAAACCCAGACCCAATTTCAGTAATTAATTAAGGGCCTTGTTCCCTTCACTTGCAGTGCTTGCTCTGCATGGCTCTTCTGTTCATTCCCTTACCAGGCTTCCCTTTTTGGGTTTGAAATTAATGTTATTTCCCTCCTATTTTCTTCCCAGAATATTCGAGCGAGATTAATCCCACCGTATATAATTCAGCGTTTATGATTTCCATTTATCAATGATAATTTGTCGATACAGTCCAGAAAGCCGGATTAGTGGTCATGATATGATATAATATGGACAAGCTAAGCTAGCTTAATTTAATAATTACGTTAGAAACATCCGTTGATTAACCTGCAGGGACAACCAGCTAGAAACTAGAAACAGAATAAAAACAACGGGAAAACGAAGGAAAAGAAGAGAAGAACATAAAACCACGAATCCTCGACGTAAATTCATATTAATTAATTTTCCTGGTTACGAATATTTCATATGGGTCGTAGAACAATAACATGGTAATGAAATTGGCTTATACATTTCATCTTCTTCCTGCTGCCTCAAAGCCTAAGCTCAAGATCCAAATCCCTAATCCCCATCCCCACCGCCGCCGACGTACCCATGGACAGCGACAATGTCAACGCCGCCGCCGGCGGATAACGAGTAGTACTAGTGGTGGTGGTCCCCGTCTTCCTCCTCCTCTTCCCGCCGGCCAAAACCGTCCCCTCCAAATCGTTATAGAAATGACGACCACTTTCCACAATTCTAACCATGAGCCCAAGATCCAGCCAACAACAATCGTCATCATTGCCACTAGCTGTCTTCCTCTTGTTCATAACGTCGGCACCGGACGAAGAATGTTCCGCCGTGGTTGTGGTGGTGGTGGTGGAAGAAGATGAAACCCTAGGGGAGGAGTTCGTCGTCGTCGTAGTAGTTGCAATGTGGCCGGCGGCGACAGGAGGATGTTGTTCGTCGTCGTCTTCGTCTTCGTGGGAGGACTGTTGTTGCTTGAGACGGGCGCGGTCGCGGCGGTGGACGTTCATGTGTCCTCCGAGGGCCTGCGCGGAGCGGAACTCGCGGCGGCAGAAGCTGCACGAGTAGGACCTCGGTGGCCAAATGCAGCCTCCGGCGTCCTCGGCGAAGGCTCTCTCTTCCCACGTGGCGGCCGGCGGTGAGGATGAAGAGGAGGAGTTGAAGAGGAAGTGGGTGCTGCGGTGGCGCTTCATCCACGTCCATTGCTGATGGTCGTGGCCGGACGATGATGGATGTGACGAGAACATGATTTTTTTTTTTGGGTAGTTGTTGTGTGTATGACTTTTTTTGAGGTGATTGAAGTCAAGAGGGAGAGAGGGGTATTAATATAGAGGAGAGATTGGCCTGCCGAATTCTGATATTTTCACATATATATTAGAGAATTTTCGATTGGGTTGTTTTTCCTTTGTTCATTTTTCTATGTTGACAAGTTCAGTCTTCTAATTTTCTCCCAACTATATATATATGTAATTAATTGATGAGGAGATAATTAGCTAGCTGAAAGGCCCATTTTGAAGCAACACTAGTCAAACGCTAGTCTGTTGTTTAATTAATTAATTGAAGCTTCCTATCTGGATAGCAGCTTAATTATTCATTACTTGTCATCGGTTCCTTGTAACAATAATTAGATAGCAAGCATTACAGTTTTGGCTATGCTGTTTATGTTCTTGGTGTGTAACTGTGTAAGCTCGTGATTAAATAATTGGATCGGGAGGTCTCGTGTTTAATGACGGATTATATTTGTAAATTTGTCACGGTGAATTACAAAAAAACGTTAATCCAACAATGTAAATAAAGTGGTTGTGTCCAATGATATCCACAAATCGCGGTCGAATGGGTATATACGAGAATTTTGAATGATTTGAATAATTGAAAATACTCAACTGTCAATACTATATATATAGAACAATTATTTTGGCTGAATATGAAGAAATGTATTCTGTTGACTGCATGGCCTACCTCATTAAATTAGTTTAAACTAATAACTGGCTTATATGATTTCTTAGTACTATGGTTTAAGTTGGGACATTTGGAGGAAGGAAGTACACTCATCACTGTTCTTCCTTTTGTCACTTTGACATAAATTTAATTCACTAATTATATGTTGGAAAATATTTGACTTCCTTCCTTCATATATTTATATATTTAATTGATTATCTTGAAATTTTCATCGCATGGGACAAAGTCAACATCGATGTATATATATTAGTATATACAAATACAAATATAAAATGCATAGTTTAAATAGTATTTTGATCCCAGGAGTATCGAAAATAAATCTGACTGAGCAATGGAAAAAGATAACATTTATGAATAATAATGTTTTTATACTAATGAGGAAGTATGTATTATTAGCTGATGTATAAATGGAGAAATTTTACAATGCTATATAGTATTGGTGTTATAGGTTTTTGTTTTTATGGTACAACTTAAAATTGTACATTTACGTTATGGTACAACTTGAACTTGTACCGTTATGTGATGGTACAACTTCAAGTTGTAAAGTTGTACCATAACATAATGGTACAAATTATTTTATGGTACAACCTAAACTTATACATTTAATGTTATGGTACGACTTTGAGTTGTACATTAAAACACCAATGCTATATTTTTTTTTATAACAAACGGAGGCCGAAGCCAAGAAGCAGAAAAGTTACAGGGGAGGACTAGCTAGAAGAGGAGTGAGTCGCCATAACCCGACGCTCAAAAGTGACACCCATCATGTCATCTTGCAACAGTGGGACAAGCCCCATCGGAGGATCAACTAACTCATACAACCCGTAGGGATAGACGAGACTGTGCTTCGAGAGCCAGTCCGCGACTCTATTCCCTTCGCGATAAGTATGAGTCAATCTAACCAACCAATCTTGCCCAATTTTCCTGCGGATAAGATTCAAAATGGTCGCATAGGGGTGGATGGGGTCATGACGCTCCTGAATCAGCTAAATCGCAAGCTGAGAATCCGAAGCTAACTTCACCACCCGATGCCCGAGCTTCCACGTGAGCTCCAACCCATAGTAAATTGGCCACAGCTCTGCCAAAACGGCGGTTGCCGAGCCATTCCCTGCCACGAATCCGCCCAACCAGTTACCCATCGGGCCTCTGATCACCCCCCCCCCCAGCTCCGGCTGGTCCTGGATTACCATTAGAAGCCCCATCTGTGTTCACCAGGATCCAACCCTCTGCAGGGGGCTCCCAGCCGATATCTGCAGTCACCCTCTCCGTCCCTTGCTTCCTGTGGTTGGCAAAGGGGTCAGGGGCGTGCCAAGAGTCATTCCAAAGCTTGCTCTTAACCAGAATGGAGTGCAAAAGAGAAGGAGCGGTCATAGCTGCGCTAGGACCCTTGAACGCCATAGTGGTTCTGTTTTTCCAAAGTAGCCAACACGCCATGCTGAAGAAACCAGGCCAATTAATACCTGAACTGGTCGTCTCTTTGCTCATCAGATTGTTGCGGAACCAACTCCCGTGAGAGGCGCTGAAGAAAACATGCTGCTTCTGCTGAGGCACCAATCTGGACCAGAAGAACAGTGCAGGGGCACAGTCCCTCAGGATGTGAAGAACCGTCTCGGGCTGCTCTGTGCACCGTAAACACATAGGAGAATCCGCTGCCTTCCTCTGAGCACGGAGGACATTGGTTGCTATCTTACTCTGAATAGCCAACCAAATAAAACACCTAATCCTCTCCGGCACCGGCAAGCCCCAGATCACCTTCCAGATCCCGTCCCTTGCCTGCGGATTAGGAACTGACAGCAGATCATAGGCCGAATTTGTAGAGAACCGTCCGTCTGCTGCTGCCGACCAGAATAAGGAGTCTTCCTCCTGAGCGAGAGTATCAACCGCAGTACTGATAATTTTGTTGCAGATATCCTGGGGAAGCCGCCCGGTGAACAGATCAGTGCGCCAACTCCCATCCTCTTCAACAAAGTCCGCCACTGCCGCATCCTCCAAAGGTTCTGGAATTTCATCCGTCGCCACCTCCTTCAGATGAACCTGCAAAATCCACGGGTCGAGCCAAAATTTAGTCTTTTTTCCATTCTTAATATTCCACGCACAACCTTTTTTCAGAAGCTCGGCAGTTTTGGAAAAACTGCTCCAGGCAAAGGAACTTCCCTGAACTTTCCGCAAGATGTCGAGACCCTCTCTTCGATCCCCATACTTGGAGATGAGCAGTTGCTGCCACAAGCCTCCATCTTTTTGCAGTAGCCTCCATCCTGACTTAGCCAGCATAGCCAGGTTCGCCTGCCGAGTAGGTCGAAGTCCCACACCTCCTTGAGCTTTAGGTCTCGTCATGTTCTCCCAAGCCACCAGGTGAAATTTAGGGTGGTTTTCTTCTTCCCCCCAGATGAAATCCCTGCTGATTTTATCAATACTCCTGCACACACCACTTGGGATTAACTCAGTATGCATAGTATAAATCGGGATAGAGGCAGTAACCGATTTTGCCACTGTTAAGCGAGCCGCGAAAGGCATATGCTTCGCCTTCCAAGGAGCCATTTTCTTCTGAATACGGAGCAGGAGAGGCTGATATCTTCCTTTGGTGATCCTCTCCTGGATAGCCTGAATCCAAAGGTATCTACCCAGCGCTGCTTTCAGTGGAATCCCCGCCGACTGGCTCAGGTACTCTGCTTTGTGCCGGGTGATATTCGGGGAAACGTACAAAATGGATTTATTGTAGTTGACCCGTTGTCCGGAACTGTAGCAGAAGTCCGCCAAACACTGCTTGATCACTCGGATTTGTCTTCGTTCTGCCTCTGCAAAAAGAAGAAGGTCATCTGCAAAAAAGAGGTGGGTAAGAGGCGGGCCAGAGTTGGTAAGCTTTACAGGCTTCCACTTCCCCTCATTAACTGCCTCATCAATTTTATGAGATAACCGTTCCATACAAAGGACAAAAAGATAGGGAGAGAGAGGATCTCCCTGACGGATGCCTCTGGAGGGAGTGATCGGTTGAGAGAGCTCTCCATTCCATCTTATCCTCATCGTATTATGCTCCACACAATACATGATGCAATTAATCCAGCTGCTAGACAGTCCCACTTCCTTCAAGGTGTCTCGCAGAAAATCCCACCTGAGCATATCGTAGGCCTTCTCGAGATCAATCTTGAAGATCATGCCCCCTTTCTTACCCCTTTTCTTCCTGAAAGAGTGAAGGATTTCCTGAACCACAATGATGTTATCCGTTGTTTGCCTTCCAGGAATAAAGCTACTCTGTCTGGGCAAAATCAATTTCCTCATGAGGGGCTTCAGTCTGGAAGTCATGGCCTTGGTGATACTCTTGAGGCAGACATTGTTCAGAGATATAGGCCGGAGTTGAGACACCCTCTCAGGTGCGTCTACTTTCAGGATTAGAACAAGAGTGGATTCGGTCACCGCTTCAGGAAGGGTACCTGTCATAAAAAAAGACATGGCCATATCTGAAAGAGACTTTCCCACCACCTGCCAGAACTGTTGATAGAAGCCAGCATGAAAACCGTCCGGGCCAGGGGCCTGAAATGGCTTCATATCAAAAATCGCCTTGTGAATGTCGAGAATATTAAACGGTCTGAAAAGGGCTGCCGTTTCTGCTTGGCTCAGGCGAGGAAAAAACTCTTTTGGCATTCTGTCTTCATACTGAGAATAGTCGTGCAAGTAGATATTAGAGAAAAAATTGAACACAAGCAAAGCGAGGGCATGTGGCTCGGTTACCCACAAGTCGTTCTCATCCATCAGGGCCTCAATCTTGTTGAACCGTCTCCTGATATTAGCTTGTTGATGAAAATATCCTGTGTTTCTTTCTCCAAATTTAACCCATTGATCTCTTGACCGTTGATACCAAAAAATTTCCTCCTGTTCCAGGACTTTATCCAATTCCGCCGCTAGCTTTGTATGAAGTTTGGCCAATCCAGGAGAAAAACCATTTGCCAACCTTGTTTCCACTCCCTTGAGCCTCGCCAACAGTCTTCTTTTTTTAAGTTTAATATTCCCAAAGACAGTACCATTCCATTCAACGAGCTTACCAGCAAGCTCCTGGAGAGCATTCTCAAGAGTAGCAGAAGCGTTCCAGGAATCAGCTACGACCGACCGGAGACTCTCATTAGTTAACCAGGCTGCTTCAAACTTGAAAGGCTTCGTGAACTGTTGCCTGCCCGGCTGTATCTCCACACAGGTCAGGATGGGACAATGATCAGACTGATACCGGGGGAGGTGCAGGACCGTTGAGTTGGGGAAAACTGTATTCCACCTGATGTTGCAGAGACTCCTGTCAAGCCGGCTTGCCTTGTACGTCTGGCCATTCTCCCCTCTGGACCAGGTGAATTTGGCGCCCGAGAAACCAAGGTCAACCAGTTCTGCGAGATTCATCCTCTCGGTGAACAGTTGACACCTACTCAACGTATTGCGAGCTAGAGGGCCAGACTTCTCTTCCGGATTACAAATAGCGTTGAAGTCCCCTATCAACAGCCACGGAATGTCAATACTTTTGCTGTGAGACACAAGCCTCTCCCAGAGATGTCGCTGGTCTCCTTGCCTCGGGGAAGCATATACCGCAGTTAATAGCCAAACCGGATCACTGCCTCTACTAACTTGGAGAGAAAGATGCTGCGAACAGGCTGAGACGGGGTCAATCGAGAACACACCAGCATCCCAGAAAACCCATATACCTCCTGAACGCCCCTCTGCCTCTACACGAATAGAGTTAGGGAAACCGAGCTTATCACAAATTTTATTCGCCGTATCCCCGCTAACCTGAGGCTCAAGGAGCACCAGAAAGTCCGGACGATGCGACTGGATCACCAACTTCAGGGCCCTCCTGAAGGCCCCACTCCCAGCACCACCCACGTTCCAAGCGAGCACTTTAAAGTTAGGACTCATTGACATTAAACAAAAAACCATGGACGGACAGCACACCGGAACCGTAGCAGAACACCGCGGAGGAAGGCTCGCAAAATCAATTACGACGACGGAGGTGTCTCCGCGGTCTGGGTTTCCGTCAAAGGATCGCAAGTCGCCTGAGCCGTAAAAGCTTTCCCCCCTACTTCCCCTGTAGAGATCCTAGCTGCTTCGGTCCAGGCATTGATCTCTTGCAAAGTCAGCATCGCCGCCCGAGCTTTGGATTTAGGTTTCCTGTCTTTAACCGGCGACCAAATCTGGAGAGGCTTCGCCGTATTGAGCTTGGTGGGGGATTTCTTTTGCTGGGAACTCTTCGCCTTTCTGTTTTTCGTTCGGGCTGTTAGAGACGGAGCAGAGCTGAGATTTGGATCGGCATTCTCCTTCGATGATTGAGGGATTTCAACTACCTGCAACACGGTGCCGTTTTGGCCTGTAACGGTTTTAGTCGTGAGAAGCAGCGGAGGATGCCCCTTGGGCTCTTGGGGAGACTGAATTTTGTTCTCACAAGAAACTCGGGCCGTCTTGGTAACTGCTTGTGGAGTGATTCGAGACTGCTGGGCTGAGGTCGAGGCCTCATCCACCTCCAAACTGGGCTTCGGCCTGCTTAGCTTGGGCTCGGCTACCTCCGGGCCTGGGCCCAAAAGCCCTTTCCCCTTTCCCCCAACACCACTCTCCTTCTTCTCGTTACCTTTCTTACTCCCATCGCTGATCTTCTTCCCTGATTGATCTTTCCTTTCCTGAGCATGATTCCTATGAGGTAAGGGGCCGTTGTTGAGGGATTGAGAAGGTAAGTCCTTATTTGCATCTTTCCCTCCTGTACCGCGCTTACCCTGTTTAGGACCCAACACCGCAATTTGAGCTGCCCCGTCGCGATCATGATTCCCTTTCCCTTGACCCTCCCGTGAAACCCGCCTTGACTTCCTGGACACCAGCATCCATGGCCCAAACCCCGGATTGGGGTCATCCTCGCCGGGCATCAAACCGACCGGCGACTCCCCACCGGCGGCCACTGTGGAATTCACCAGAACAGCAGGTCTGAGGAGTGGGCACGCGACAGAGCAATGCCCAATTCTTCCGCACTCGAAACACACCTCTGGAAGGTTTTCATATTCCACTTTTTGCCAGGCGTCATCCAGCCAAATTCGCGGTACCAAGTGCTTTGACAGATCAACCTCCACCGCTAACCTGGCAAACTTCGCACGTTGTTGCGTGAGGGTATGATAATCAAGCTTGATAGTCCTCCCGATCAGGTTACCAATCGTTGTCACCACCTCTTTGTGGTAAAAATGAATTTTCAATGCCGGCAGCTGTACCCAGACGATCATAGTCTTCGGAAGGGGATCCGAGGCCTTGAAATTTGGAGTCCACTGTTGAACGATCAAATAGTGATCAAAGATCACCCATGGTCCGTCGGTCAGAGCCCGGAAATAGTCCTGTTCATTATCCAATCTAACTAAAAAGCAATCATGATCCAGGTCCTTGATCTCCATGTTTCCTACCGGTCGCCAGAGGTTTTTGAGTCGATTGCAGAGTGTAACAAAACCAATTTTCAGTCCGAGGAGTCGAACTACCAAACAACGCTGCCATGGAGCGCATATTTTTTATTTGAATTCCGGCGAGATTGTCAACGAAGGCTCCCCATTTCGGCTTCCTGTAACTAAATCATGCTCCCCCACCGGAGTCCATACCGCCAATTGATTGGGAGATGTCGTTGGAGTCGACATAGCCATTACCGCCTTAGCATAAGAGAAGGTCTGCACTGGCTTCCCTCCATTCGTCGAACCATTTGTGGCTTCCATTGGTGCAAACTGAGCCCCCTGTTTTGTAGTCGCATCCGCCGGAGAGTCCTGCACAGGCAACATAGAAACGTCAACAACCATGTCAGACAAATCAGAGGACAGGGCTGTACTATTAATCGCCCCCGGAGCACTGGCAAGAGTATGGGGTGAAAGAGGGTCCGGTGGCCGGTCAGAAGGAAGGAGGGCCGGCGCCGGCGTCGCTATTTCGCTATTCTCTTTTGAGAGCATTTCGCCTCTGAGTCAAACGTTTCCAAATTTAACACCAATGCTATATAGCATAGTAGAAGTGCTCCAATAAATGTGTTAATTACTAGCTAATTTCTTCCACGCTCCCAGTGTTTCCATACGAGTAAGAATAACTAAGATTCAAAATAGGCTAATATAACGTAGCAATATGTAGTCGTATAATTAATGTTATAAGGTACTAAATTACAGATTGTAAAGACCGTTTTGTCACGTTGTGTGGCGCCACATAGACAGCTAACTAGCTAGTGTGATATATATCCATACATGATGACTAAATCAGACACAGACAAATTCCTGTAAATTAAGGGCGGATTTTTATACTAAACAATACATACATTCTATATATATATATATATATATAGTAATGATTGACGTATTTCGTTAGTATATCATACTTCAAGTAATCTGATCGTCGGATCTACTGTGTAGTATTTTGATGAATCATAGTTGTCGATTATTGTTATGTATGTCGGGTTTAAGTTTAGAGAATTGACATGTGATTTATCCATTAGAGTATAATATAATATTCAAAACTCGATTTAATTCATGGTCAAATGAAAACATCTCACTAGAAATACTTGGAGTATGATCTAATGCTGATTGTTCAGACATATACAATGATTTGATATACAAGTACTTTATTGTTCACTTCTACATATGGACGATTGTTTTTGTTTTGCTTTGGAAGAAGTTTGTTAATTGTATGTCTAGTGAATGTAATTAGAATCTCCCCCAAACTAGCTAATGTCTATCCTTGTCAAAATATGAAAGTCAAACAAACTTCAACATCCCAATTTGCACCTAAAGCACTACACTAAATATATAATTAATTAACTTCTTCATTCGTTTTATATGCATGATTGTCGATCTCAACGTTATATGATAAATGATTGTCGATCTCAATTGTCTGTGGCTAATGATATTGACTTTCCTATAATGCAAAATTGTTGTAAGTTGAACAAATGGTGGGATATACTAACCAAAAAGCTTCAAGAGTATGAGACCAAACCTCAATTGAATTAAAGAAATCATGCATTGTCTATCTAGCTAATTATTATAATTTAATAATTAATGCAAACTATTAATTTCTCCACTTAATTAAGAATGGCATATGTACAGCCGCCAAAATTAACTTATTAGATGGAGGCAATGAAGTTGACAAACAACAAAAGTCTGGCCTAAATATAATTTTATCATTGAATGGGCTCAGTTGATATTGAACTGGTTTGACCCGGTTGTTAGACATACATATAGATATATTTGAATGGTCCAATGGCATGTTCAGTAAAATTAAAAGTATGTCATATTTAGAGCAGAAAAATGATAATATAGATCTTGAATTGTCCAGATTTTAGGATATAGTACTATACATTAACCTCTAAAAATTACAATTTAATTAGAAATAATAATCGACAGTAATGATTCGTCAAAACACATTCAACAAATTATATATGCACCATCTTGCTATCTAGAGTCTATGATGTAAATAATTAAAATCTAGGGCTGAATTATTAAGGATTAAAGTATAATTATCAAGAATTAGAGTATAATATCTTGCGCCAAAATCCAATAAACAAGGTATATGTTATCCAACAAAACTTGTAAAATGGGCACCAGCTGGGAGCTCAGCTTTTTCCAGTATACCTGATCAGGCATTCTACGGCTTACGACAAAGGCAATAATTAATAGCGCGCTAATGAGTTAATTATTATTAGGTATTTGATTTCGCATTACCTTTGATGAAACAGAATTATATACGGAGATGTGCTGTGCAGCGCCAAAGAGCAAGACAAAGATTCATATGCTGACACGTTCTTTCTTTTCTACGAACTTGAAGAAATTAATAATGTTTGTTCGAAGACATGGATTGGAGCTGGCTTAATCTTGGATTTAACTGAAGTAGTGTGATTAATTTCTGCGTATTATATAAATTGGCTTGATTAATATAAGACGGGACGTCCATTTGGCAGTTGCTTAAGTTATGGCAATGGATCAAGTAGTGCTTATGCCTTTTTTTTTTCTTTTCCTTTTAGAATATTTGCGTCTCTAGAAGCTAGCTAGCTATTGCGGGAGAGCCGGAGAAGAACGTGCTCCCGTTAATTATTCCGGCGGAACTTCTTTTAAGTTACCAAGCCAATTTAATCTAATGGTTTAGCTTGCAAAGTCAAAACAAATTGCGACCTCCTGCCATACCTTGAAGTTACTATAACTTGCCATTTTTGACCTGTTATAGCAGGTTTTATAGGTCACATTACGTAAAACTAATGTTTATTACGTAACAATTACGTAATGCTTGTTCGTCTTACGTAACAGTTAAACTAGAAGCGTTACAGAAGGTTTCCGTAACGACTTATCATTTTACGTAATGTTAGGTTAATATTCATTACGTAAAAGCATCGTCTATTACATAAGGCTTCCGTAATGATATTTTACAACTGTTACATAAAATACACGATCATTACGTAAAAGGTTACGTAACGAAGGTTATTTCTTACGTAACAGTTAAATTAGAAGTGTTACGTAAGACTTCCGTAATGACTTGCCATATTACGTAATTTGATTAATATTCATTACGTAAAAGGACCATCGTTTACGTAAGGCTTCCGTAATGCCACTTTACAACTGTTACGTAAAGTATGCATCTATTACCTAAAGGTTACGTAACGATAGTTATTTCTTACGTAATAGTTAAATTAGAAGCTTTATGTAAGTCTTCCGTAATTATTTAACAGATTACGTAACGAAAGGTTAATATTCATTACGTAAAATGAGTGTCTATTACGTAAGGTTTCCGTAATGACACACATTACATAACCATTATGTAATGCCTATTGTATTTTACGTAATGTAACTTGTGAAACCTGTTATAGCAGGTCAAAAACATTAAGTTACAATAACTTCAAAGGTATTGTAGGAATTTCCAAACTATTACTGTACTTAGAGAGAGGCGATTTCAAGCTAAAACATCTGCCTAAAATTTGTAAATCCCATGAAGTTATGTCCGCTGAGACAACTTACAAGAAACCAATCATGTCTTTTTTACTACGTGCTTCAAAACCGGCGGATGATTCTGATAAAAATGTCATTCACTTTCAGACAATTCCAAATGCTTAATCAATGGAAGAATTAGACAGACGCAACTCTTTGATCATATCCAAATCATTGACTCCCAACTACACTCCTCTTCATATATGTACCAATAACTACATCGGGAGATGTAAAAGCTTATCGTTCTATTATTTTAATAAGTTATGTTCATCATAATACGATTAGAATCTTCCAATAAAATATGCCTTCATCTACAACTTGAGGCAGAAAATTCAATGAAACTCGATTACCCATCACACATATATGGTTTTGTCTTTGCGTACTTATTTTATTGGGTACATTCAATGCACTCGCGTCATAAGCGTAATTTTAAGCACATAATTTGTGTAAAAATGATATCAATCGTCACTTGTAGTATGCTGGACAAGAAAATACATAATTTTATATCATAACCATTCAAGAATTACTTTAGTTTTAATGATTTAGAGTTTGGGGGTTTAGGGTTAGACTTTAGGTTTACAATTTGGGGTTTTGGGTTGGGATTCTAAATTAAAGGTTAAGAGGTCAGGATAATGGATTGATTAGTTGTGATTCTATGTTATATCAACATATTAGACTAGTGATACCAATCAAAATTCAAAATTCCATGTATCATAGCCATTTTTAGAGTTAGATGCACTGAATTCACACAAAAAAATTAGCGTATCGAAGTACCACCATATATATATATATATATATATATAGAATTTTAGTAGGATTTTTTTAAAATGCCGCTTCAAAACTGCGACTTAATCACAAAACAACAAGCAGGCGTCTATATCTAGACTTTTTCCTAGGGTTTTTGTATTGATAGTGAGAGAGTTATATATTATTCTTGTTATTATTTTGTTTTTTTTTTAATATTTAAGTGCCGACCAGATAGATCAGCCATTGGTGAAGATAAATTATGACATGACACTCGAGATACCTAAACCAATGTATGCACTAATATGCATGGTAAACCAAATTCTAATTAATCAATTAGTTCCTTATTTCGTTAAAATCATCACGTAGGGCTCCCACCAAAAAGAAATATCTCGTAGGGTTGAAACAATTGGCGCTACCGCATAGTAGGGGTGAACAAACACACCCGCAAACCGACCCACCCGTCCAACCCGACCCAACCCACCCGTATTTATCGCTAAATCGAAGATTTTGGGTTGGGTGAGGGTTTTCTTTTGTACAACCCGCCTCTTTTGGGTTGGGTTTGGATTTTGGATTACACAACCCGTAGAACCCGACCCAACCCGTGTTCCAATTATTGGTATGAGTTCGTATCCAAAAAAATATTTATGTCGTATATATCATACTTATGAGAAAATTAAGATATTTCGCCATGTTTTCCTCTTTAAGTCTCA